CGCCACGCCTGGTGCTGCCAAGACGGCCACCGGTGGGGCCCCCCCGGCCCCTGCTCTGCCCACAGGGGCTTTGTAGGGGAGCAGGGGTTGGGAAGCTGGAGCCGCGGCGGGTGTTAGGGCAGGCGTCACCCTCCCGCAGCTTGTTACTGCCGGAGCTGCGGTGACGAGGTGGTGTATGAGCACGAGATCATCAAATCCTGGTGTTGGAGGGACCTTAAAGCTCCTCCAGCTCCAACCCCTGCCCCGGGCAGGGACACCTTCCACTAGAGCAGGTTGCTCCAAGCCCCTGTGTCCAACCTGGCCTTGAACACTGCCAGGGATGGGGCAGCCACAGCTTCTCTGGGCACCCTGTGCCAGCGCCTCAGCACCCTCACAGGGAAGAGCTTCTGCCTTATCTCCCACCTAAATGTGCCCTGTTTAAGTTTGCACCCAAAATGCAGGGGTTAAGATGTATGTGCGAGGGCAGCGTGTGTGTACGTGCAGAGGAAGTGTGTGTTTGTGTGTGCAGAAAGATGCAGCCGTCTGAGCTATTCCCCTCACCTGGGAAAGGACTCAAGGACATGCTGGAATCCTGCATCTTTTAAACACATCTTGACTGCACTTACACTGTGAACAGCTGGGAGGTTGTTTGGGGCTTCTTTGTGACAAACAGGGAATTCACAGCCATAAATGCATCAATTTTTAGGGAGAAATGGATGGTTTGAGCCAAAGTAAACCACGGGGAGGAAAGGGAGCTGGAATGCAGCCATCCAGATGCTTTGCTTCTGAACCGATGGCTTGTTACGAGGTTGATTCTCTCTAATGTGGGGTAAAAGGGAGCTTAGTAACCCCCCCCACTGCTGTCAGACTTAGGTGAAATCATGGGAGCAGCGAATGCTCAATGCTCAGGTATTTATAGTCCTGAAGCACTGCGGGAGGTGAGACGTGGAGGTACCGCTCCAGCAGAGCCACTGCCTGGAGCTTCAGATCACGGTGTGGGGCAAACACCGGCCACTTCCCCTGCAGACAGGTTGGTTTAACGTGTGCACTCAGAGGCACAAGAGGAGCTAAAACCTCACAGCACAGAACTGAAGGTAAATAGGCAATGGTGTGTTCAGGGGCTGAGGGAATATTTGGGTACCACAAGGCACGTTGCAGGCTGGGCACGTGGAGAGATGGGGAAAGGATCAGGAAGAGGCCGAGAGCCATCTGCATGCTTTAAACTGGATTCTGTTTGTACGGAGGAGGATGAACTCAATTCCTCTTCAGTCCTTCCAGTCTGTAAACACCAGAATGCAAACAGCCCTTTGAGTGATTCAGACATAGCTCAGGGCTGAGTCAGACCCGAGAACCTCAAACTCAGGTCGGAGGCAGCCAAATCTGACAGCTCCAAGTCCACAGCTCGGGTGCAGAACGCTGCCTCTTCCCGAGCTGCCTCACCCCGTCGCTGGGAGCTTCTGTTCAGTTGGCTTTTGGTGGGGAAGTAGAACAAAAATGGGGAAGACCTGTAGCAGGGAGTGAGAAGTGATTAACTGCTGGCACGTGGCAATTACATACATATATCAATGTATAATACATATATATATATTTGGTATGGGGAAAGGCAGGAGGAGGTGAGAAGAAACCCACTCTCTAGAGGAGAAGCTTCCTCCCTCTGCCTCCCTTCTCCTCCTTTCTCTGGAAATCTGTGCCCTGAGCGCTGCTGCAATAACGGGAGTTGGAATGTTTAAGCCATGATTATTTCTACAGCTGGAAAGGAGAAGATTCCTGCACTTTAGGGTTTCTTGTTTAAACTCCTGAGCAATAGGTTTGACCTGGGGCCTCCCCACACAGTTGCCTCGCTGCTGTGCAGATGGGCTCTGGTGTGTCCCAGTGCAGCGGCCCATTGCGGGGGCAGCCACGCAGTGGGTTAAGGACCCGCCTGCTCTCAGCATCCCCGTGTCCCCATAGGGTGCTCCTGCTGCAGGTTTGCTCCCAGTTCCAAGCCTGGGATCAAACCCAATGTGTTGCATCAGTGTGACCACACTTGTGTGCCCGGCCCTGACCATGTGGAGCACACAACTGTGCTTCCATCGGGTACATCGTCTGCTCCTCACCGAGTCCCATGCACTGAACTGCGCCAAAGCACAGGCTTGGTTTTGGGCTCAAGCACCAGCGTGGCAGAAAAGCTCAATCTTCCCACATTCAGCATCACCCAGACCCTGCTGTGGTCCAGGTTTGAGAGCTCGGGGGGCTGCAGCACAGGTCGTGTGCTCTCTCCTGCCCGCTGCACCCAGCGGTGCTGGTGTAACAGCCCAGCCCGGGCCGAGCTGACACCAACACTCCCCTGTTTCAGACGATGGTGCCCATCACATGGGAACCCCGCTGCCAGGTTGTTCAGACTGAAGTGAGTGCTCGGAGAAGCTGCTTCCATCTGCTGTTAGTGTTCTGCCAATAGATTTCCATTCTGCTGCTGAAACCCACATCAATCCCCAGAGCCACGGTGCTGGTTTAGTGCCTCCAGCTCCCTGTGCAGCCTCTTGCTGGGGAGCAGTGAAATATTCCTTGTTGTGGGCTGCTGGAAGTGATGACCTGGTTGCTGAGGGTTTGATTCTGTGTTTTCTCCCTTCTTTGCCGTGACAAAACACGGTGTCGTTCTCCAAAGGCTGGGGCAAGGCTCTCCCCTGGAGCAGCTTTAGCACTTGGTGTGTCAATAAAGGCTGGGAGCCAGCGTGCGGGCAGGATGGGCGATGCTGCCGTAGGGAGTATCTCCTGGCTGTAGTTGCTCTCACCCTACCTCCTGCAGCAGTGCTTGGTCCATAGCACTTCACGGTGGTGTGTATTTAACTGCATGGAATGGGGCTGGGAGGTGGAATGCTGGGCCTGAGGGATGCAACAGCATAAAGTCAAGCCCAGGCTGCTGCCATCCCAGTCCTCCTGCCCGAGCCACTGGCCCAGCTCTTCCGGGACAGGCTGTGCTGCCCTTTAGAGCTGGTATTACAGGGGTGCCTGTTTTCCCTACGGATAACTCTCCCTGTCTGTGCCTTGCAGGCACTACCACAGCATGGAGGTGTTCACCCACTATGATCTGC